AGCTAAATGTTCAACCAAGTCTCTACCTTTCTTACACAACAACCTTCTGGACAACCACCAGTCTGGTTTCAGAAGTTGCTACTAGGGGTGTGCACGAATATTTACATTTTCGTATATTCGAATTTTCGATCTGTAATTATTTTTCGAAAAATAAAATAGTATTCAAATTTTACTATGTTGCTTTGCTGGCTGTAAATGCAATGAGTCCATGATAAATCCCAAGCACTAACTCGCAGTTATAATTAAATGCACTGTGTGCCGCTGTTGATTGTCTTAAGTTGTGTATATTTGATCACATAATCTTGTCGTCTGCCTCGCAAAGTTTATAATTACTGGAAAATGAACTTACTTAATGGAATTACTTTTGATCAAATTAATTAATCTGAGTTATAATATCATCACCACCATGAGAAATCAAATGAAATCCAAACAGTCGAATGGGGAAAGACAGTTGACCAACACTGCATCGCGACTGCAGGTAATCGCAGCTAGACCCCGTGTGGTCCGGAATGATAACTTTTCTAATAGCAAAATGATTTTGAGAATATAATTCATTTGAGTTTTGTTGAGGGAGACCAGTTTAAGAACAGAAAACGTAAAGTGCTCTTTTAAACTTAGAACACAGTTATATCGACTTTTCTCAATGGAGCATTGCTGACGGTGCCCCTGCATGGATATTATTGTTTTTCACAATATAAACGTGAAACAATATAAACACAATAATCATGTGCTAACTTGTGTGTGTGTACGTGATGTACAATATATGGCACAATCCGCTTTATTAGGCTTTTTTTTCCCCGTTTTCGCTGCTTGAGCATTCTTTTATTAAAGGGCACCTATTATGCCCCTTTTTACAAGATGTAATATTGGTCTCTGGTGTCCCCAGAATGTATTTGTGAAGTTTCAGCTCAAAATACCCGACAGTTAATTTATTAAAACCATTTGAAAATGTCAATTTGGGGCCTGTTTAAAAATGAGCTGTTTCGGTGTATACCACCTTAAATGCAAATGAGCTGCATATCCCCGCCCTGCCTTTGGATGAGGGCGTAACTTGATACCTATGGCAGTTGGTACTGATAGAGTGAGAGAAACCACTGTTTTGAATGTCATTCAGCGTACGTTTGAATCGGAATATATAAATAATACGAAAAGACTCCGGCAGAATAAACACAAATGATAATGGACCAGTACGTCTCGGTATGGTTATGTGATACATTTATGTACTTATAGAGTTGTAATCGTGTCCCATTTGCAATCATGGATGTGGAACACACAGACACACACAAACACTAATGCTGGCGCAATTTTTTGAAACTACATACACATACTGTGATAAAGTTTGCTACGTACAAGCGTCGAGCGAAATTACATTTATTCGAGGGACCTGTTGCATCATGTTTACTTGTCTTACAGATGCTTCTGTGGCAAATGTGAGAAGATGGCTAACTTACAGAACAACAACATATATGCAGTTTTTAATACAATATCTTTAAATATATATATATATATATATATATATTATATAAGCAGTTGTCTGAGCATATATATATATATATATATATTTAAGCCTACACAGACAACAACTTTAGACGCATTTGTTGTTGAATTGGCTGACATTGACTGAAAAGACTTTTTGCTCAAATATCATAAAATACACTTACTGTTACTGGAAGTGACGGTGGATCACAAACAGTAGACGATCCACACTTGAGGATTAACTTTTAAGCCACAACAACAGGATTAACCCATGACAGAATATTTATGTTTCCAAGAGACATTACCGCCTGTCATTGAAACAATGGAGGATTGTGTACAGATCACCGAGGGCGGGGTCTATGCCACAACCACACTGTCAATCAAACCCCTTGCTCAATTCTACGTCACAAAGAGCTGAATCTCAGAACAGCTCGTTCTGAGACAGTGCATATGAGATTGTAAAAAAAAAAAAAAAACTACTAGGTGGATTTTTATCATTCTAGGGTGGTTTTGCTCACACACTGCCAACACACATTTATGTTCAAACACCATGTAAACGTGAATTTTCCATAATAGGTGCCCTTTAATGCTTTTGTTTATTATACTTTTGGCTTACACATAGGCCTACTGTTTAATGTTTTCAACTAAAAGAAAACTTTAAAATAAATTGTAAGCTTGTTGTGTATATTGCCTAATTGTAAGCTTGTTCAGAAATGGTGACAAAAATGAAAAAAAAAAAAAAAAACGTTTTTTTTTTGTTTTTGTTTTTTTAATTTGTTAAACATAATATAAATAAATGAATATTCGAATATAAACATTTTTAATGAATGCAATATTTTTGAAAAATGCCCATCCCCAGCGGCCACTAAACTGCCCGGCTCTCGGTTATTGAAGCTCTGAGACTGACAAGAGCAGCTTCCATATCATCATTACTCATATTGCTGGATCTGTCTGCTGCTTTTAACACAGTTAACCACCAGTTCCTCTTGTCAACCCTCACGATAAAGCACATCTCAGGAACCCACACTGCAGTGGTTCAATTCTTCCCCCTCAGGTAGGGCCTTAAGGGTGTCGTAGAGGAGCGAGGTGTCTAAGTTGCAGCATCTAGCTACTGGGATGCCTCAGGGCTGAGGGCTTGGACCACTTCTCTTCTCCATCTACATGTCCTCATAAGGATCTGTCATTAAGAAATATGTTTTTTCCTATCACTGCTACATTGATAACACATAACTCTACCTCTCATTACAGCCAGATTTTCAAACGAAGGCAGCTCGCATCTCAGTCTGTCTGACAGACTTTTCTTGCTGGATGAAGGACAACCACCTTCAACTCAATTTTTCAAAGATAGAAATTGTGTTCTCTGCCAATCAACATTAGATTTATCTAACATTAGGGAGATCAGGCTCTTCCTATAGGTACATACTTCTTAACTACTTGTCCAAGTTCTAATTCTATCCAAACTGGACTATTGTAATGCTCTCTTGGAAGGCCTTCCAGCATGCACTGTCTAACCTCTGCGACTGATTCAGAATGCTGCAGCATGAGTGTTTTTTTAACAAGCCAAAAATGCCATGCTACACCTCTCTTCATAAACTTGCAATTGTTGCCAGTTGCTGCTTGCATCAAATTCAAGGCACTGGTTTGCCTACAGAACAACCACTCAAGTCAAGTCAAGTCAAATATATATATATATATATATATATATATATATATATATGTATATATATATAGCGCTTTTCACAATTCAGACTGTATCAAAGCTGCTTCACAATATCAATCAAGACAACTTAACAGTGTTTGTTTATTCATGGGAAAAAAAGACAATCAAGTTTGGTAGAGCTGATCAATGATGGGTCATTTAATTTGAATATCCCCAACTGAGCAAGCCAAAGGCAACAGTGGCAAGGAACCGAAAAACTCCATCAAGTGACCCGATGGTGTCCTAAAACTCCTTGGGGAACCCAGGCTCAATCGGGGGGGCAGTTCTCCTCTGGCCTTTATGAACTAGAGGCCAAATTTACAGTAACTGTAAGATAAAAAATGTATATGAATGCCTGGCTAAATAAATGTGTCTTTAGTCTAGCTTTAAACTGGGAGAGCGAGTCTGAGCAACGAACAGTATCAGGAAGGCTATTAATATCACAAACAATATCAGGAAGGCTACAACCACTAGCTCTGCACCCCATTACCAAAATTACCACTGACTGTGCCACAGTTATTAGTCAATGATTAACTTCACAGTGAGGTTCAATTCATTAACAAATGGTATCTTGAACTAGCAATAAACAATACCAATAAATTAATTTTAAATAAAAAAATTGATAGCAATAAATTAATTTTAGTTAATGTTAATATTTTATAATATACAATAATATATTGGCAATGTAATGTATAAATTAACATTTGTTAATTGTGAATGAACAGGAATTAACAATTATTGATAGCATGTTCATATTTATTAACATCATTTAGTAAAAAAAAAATAAAAATGTTAAGATACTGGAACATTTTACCAATTAATGCAAGGTGAATATTAATAATTAACAGAAAGATTAAATACATTGCGGTAAAACTGAACCATAAAGTTTCATTAACTATATTAACGATAAATAATACTTCTACAGCATTTATTATTCTAAGTTAATATTGATTTCTACATTTACTAATATATAGCTACTTTAAATCAAAGGTGTATCTGTTAACATTGGTTAATGTTTTGTGAAGTAAAAATAATCAACTGTATTTTTGTTAACTAATATTATCAAACTTTAAAGCTGTAAATATAACACAGTCTCACCCAAAGACGTCATATAACTGATGTCTTGGGACGTCTTGTTACCATACGTCAACATCTGCCTTTTTAGGGTGCCATTAAACGTCGGTTAGATGACGTTATCGGATCTAAACCTACCCCGTCACCTAAATGACGTTAAAGGTAAAGCATCGGTTGCATGACGTCATGTAACCGACGTTTAAGGGCACCCTAAAAAGGCGGATGTTGACATAAGGTCAAAAGACGTCCCAAGACGTCAGTTATATGACTTCTTGGGATGAATATATTGTCCATGGATGCATGTTAACTGAACTAAAGAATATGAACTAATGTTAAGAAATTAAACTTATTGCAAGTTGTTACCAATATTAATGTTAACATCATAACCAACTAGTCAATATTCATACACTTCTCATTAACACTGTGACACACCAGTTGTTCACATTGTATAATCGTGTTACTGTTGTTGAGCTGAAAATATGATTTGCCTCCACAACGTGACCAGACAGCCATCATTCTGTATGCTGACTTTACCAGAGATCCACACAACTTAGCAATGCATGTTACAAACCAACTCAGCGATTTACTCACTATTAGTCTCAACTCAACCTTAATCAATCACCAATTATCACATGGAATCATACCACAACAAATGAACAGCATTAATTATTCAATAAAACATAACCTGTAAGTGGTAGGTTAGATTTATTTTTTGTAGGCAGGATTTTCTCTATATTGCAATCAGACTTACCATAGTCACTATCATAGAAGACGATGAACTTCTGCCAGCGCAGCTCACCAACTAGCGTCAACATGACATCACTTAGACGGACAGGCGGTCGAGATGCAAGGGTGTAACGCTCTCCATCAGGACTTGGATTGAGTTGGCATGCGGTCCGGGGTGATCCTTCAGTGTTTCGCTGGACATAAAGGTGTGGTATGTGCATGGCATCGGTCAGGGACTGTAGAGCACTGGCCGAGGCACAGCCTGTAGATGTGACCAAAGCCAGGATCCCTTGCGTCATAAGTTCGCATGCTGCAAAATGACAGAAAAATAAATAAAAATATGATGAGCTTGGGTACTTCATCAAAAACATCAAAAAAACTCACATGGCCCTACTATTTACAGTGTTGAAATACAGCCTAGCTGTTAGAATAGAGTGTACAAGAAACAATGTACAATTCCTTTATGGTGGATAACTTTCCGCCTTTTTGTGTTTCATTCAATGACAAAAACCTCAATATGCAAGTTAGCCAAAGTTATCATAAAATATTCCCTATCATTTTTTTTGTTGTTGTTGTTTTATTTACATAAAAGAGGAAAAGAATGGGCCGACTGCAATATTTTTGAAGACGTTATTCATTTTTGATGACTCTTTGAGTTGTGTGAAGTGAGTAAGTGGTCTACTTTGCGGGTCAGGTAAAATTTGGCTCTAAATCTTTGAGCTTTAGAAATAATTTGGTTATGTTTTTGGCAGCTTCAGCAAACTTAGATAATGTTTTGCGCCTGGCTAAAAACATTTTAAGTGAAGAATTCTCATTTACAAGACACTTAAGATAAAAAAAAAAAAATGTTTGGTGAACAACAAAAATGTCAAACAAAAAGAAAGAGAAAACAGGCTTGATTTGAAGAAAGAGAAACCCAAACCACTAGAGACCACCCACAGCTCCCATAGCACTTTAACAGGTAATGCATTCATTCAAACGCGGACAATTTCATAGTTTCAGTTTTTAAAATTTTAAACCATTGCTGTGGTGACAATTATAGAATGTACAATTTGGAAACCATCACACCTCAGTTTTGTCTTTTTTTTTTCAGTTATGTTCTTTCAATAGCCACTGTATCTTTGAAAAAAGAGTAAGAAGTGAATAATTTCAAGTGTGCATTGAGATACACTGGTGTCCAGAAGTTACTGTATATCACCGACCATTCTCTGCAGACAAGGCAAATTTGGAGTTACAATTAGATGTGTACAAAGAATGCATGAGTTAATCAAGCATTTAAGATAATAAAATAACAATGAACAGGCACAAGTACAACTGGGTGGTATTATGATCAGAAAAAGAGTGGAGCTATATCTCATACTGTTGCATTACTATAGAACACATTTCCATTTGTTTCCATCAAGTTCCAAAGAGAAAAAAATAATCTAATGAAATAAAGTACCTTTCATGTGTAAACTATTTAGCTGAATTAATGAAACCTGGACATTGCCACATGATTATTTAGTATACAGTCATTCCTTTTATCAGTTTACAGCAAATATAACAATGTCATGATCTAAACTGTGTGTAATAGAAAATCCTCATAACCATCACAATTTTGGCCATAACAACCAGCCCCTAGGGTAATTCTCTTTGTGTGGATTATGAAAAGCCCATTTTCTAATTTTGAAAAATCTTAAACCCCTCTAATTAATTTTAGATTAAAATCTAGAACAGTACATCATACAATAATGAAATAGGTTTTTTTTTTCTTTCTGAGCATAAAAGGACCTTTGCTTCAGCAAGGTTTCAATGCTTAATCGCTGACAAAATATAAAGGGACAGGCTCATTGTCTGCTTTTGTATTAATCAAGGCCAGTTGAGTTTTAATTTGATTTCGTATTAATTGAATTTCTTGGTTTTGTGTGAAGTGAACTCTGTGCATCCTAAGGGTCACAAAAAAGTGATCTGTTTATTGGTCCTACATACAGAAAAAAGTAAGAGGTGTGCATTGTATTCAGCTGCCGGAGCAATGCCAAGAATCAAGCACCATGGGGACAAACAAGTATCTACCCTCTAGCCACTTTCGCATTCATATTGCTCCTATTTAATCAAATATTTAATGTGGTGATACCCAATTCTGTTTAGTATAGTGCTTAATAAGAAAAATAACAAGTATCATATAATTAAGCACGTAGCACGTGCACAATCTCTTGAAAGAGTTGAGACGTCATTACTGTATGTCTGACACGTTAATCTTAGATTGTTGGTCCTAAAGGCAATGTAATCCTTGAGGCTAAAACCCAGCTATCGGCTCAAACTCTAATTCGAGTCTGATCTAGGTCCAATGGCAGAGCCGATCCTCCCTATACGCACACTACGCAAGTTGCGTAGGGCCCCACAAATCACTCAAGGCCCCGCCTCACCCTCCCTCGTGTCAAAGCTCGTCAATCAAAGTTCACAACATCGATGGGATAATTAAGCAGAACTATCCTTCTGGTAATGAAAAGAGAGACTGAGAGAAAAACACCATGTGAGTGAATTGCGGGAACAGCGATCAGGTAGACTTGTGTTCTCTCCTTTCCAAGTTTGATGTCAGCAAAAAACAGTAAAGTTAAAGGAGTAGTTCACTTTTAAAAAACATTTGCTAATAATTTTTAATGGACTTCGATGGGAACCAATTGGTTCAAGGTCCAAAAGACAGTTTCAGTGCAAACTGTTCAAAGGGCTTTAAACGATACAAGACGATGAATAAGGGTCTTATCAAGGTCACTCATTTAAAAAAAAAAAATAACAAAGTGATTGGTTCATCAAAATGAACGAAGGTTTTTTCATGTCATTTGGTTGATTCAACGAACAAAATGAACGAATTGTCTCAGAAAAAGATTCGTTCATTTTGATGAATGAGTTTGAACAGGAGAGTCACGAACGTGCATCACAGAACAGAGCAAGGTGACCATTTGAGCTTATAAAACTTACTTTTTTTTTTAGATTAGTGATCATTTCGCTTGATAAGACCCTTATTCATCATCTGGAATTGTTTAAAGCCCTTTGAACAGTTTGCACTGAAACTGTCTTTTGGACCTTGAACCGTTTGGTTCCCATTGAAGTCCATTATATGGAGAAAAATCCTGGAATGTTTTCGTCAAAAACCTTCATTTCTTTTCGACTGAAGAAAGAAAGGCATGGATATCATGGATGGCATGGGGGTGAGTAAATTATCAGCAAAAGTTTTTTTTTTTTTTTTTAAGCTGATGTGCATCTTTCTCTATCTGTTTGTCTAACCAGCCCAATTTCATGATAACGCAATGATAACCACAAATTTCTCGTGCCATTTATACAACAAAAATAGTTTTTGCATGCACATAAAACAGCAATGCATAAATAGCAAAAGAAATGTAATTTGTGGTATAGATGCTCGCTTTCATGAGATTACGTTTGATAATACAAAGGGCAACGGTGTTTGTTTATAAACTGCAGCTCGGAAAAGATAACCACGTCGCGCATTAACATGAGTTCATATGCGTGTGCACGACATGAAACGAGCACTTTCCAGTAAAACATCTATGGGGACCAGTTACCAGTACAATATGGGCGTTATGGCACTCCTCATTAGGCGCTTGTACTTTTAAAACAAGACAATAATTATCTCTCAATTATCTCTCAAATTGTCTCCCAGTCGTTTTTTTTTTTTTACAGCTGCAATAAAGCAAGATGGAAAGCAATCTATTAACATTGACTATGTTGAAAGGCTGGATAAACTCGTCAGTATGGATGCACATCCCTCAGTAAATAACCATCAAGTTTAAATTATTGCTTTTACCATTTAAAACACAGTGACATGCAATATCAAGCCATTTTATTTTCATTTTAATTCAAAGGATGCATTTTTTTATATCAATCATTAAATTTGTATGATTTAAAATGAGAATAATTCATACAAAATAAAATATGTCTATTTCTAATATCAGGAATTACATTTTGATTAGTACTAAGTAAACAGGGGAAGATTGTAGTGGGAGCAATGGGCAAATGGTTTACATAGCTCATTGGTCAGGTAGGAGGGCCCCTTTACAAATTTTTGCTTAGGGCCCAAGGGAGATCAAGATCGGTTCTGTCTAATGGCACTGGTGGTTTATTTTCCCCTTCTCTTTAATGACTGGTAACCCGAAACATAGATTCTGAAAGCTGCGGCTTTGTTATCACTGTTTGTGATGTTCATAATTAATGAAAACTGTTTGCAGGACATGAGGGCACTAACAATTCCCCCAATGTGTTTATTGACTCAGATCATGAGAAAAGTGCAGATCATGCAGGGTGGGCAAGTCAGACCCAATAATGTGTTCTGCCATTATAACAAGTCTCTGAAGTCCGTGCCAGTCCCATTGGGTGGCAGAGAAATACCAAACAATAAATTATGAACACAGGGCAGATTCAATCAGCCCTATATAGAATTTGCACAGAATTGCCCTTTTTTTCATGGTTACACTTTATGAATTGATGGAGGAAGAGCATCCCCTGCTGTGGTTTTTTTTTTTTTTTTTTTTTTTTTTTTTGAGATGGTAGTGCCAAGAAACTTTTAGGATTCCGTGCTGGTCACTGTGTACAACCATTAATTATGAGTCGAGACAAACAGGAAGGGTTTTTTTTTTTTCTTAAAATCAACAATCTTCTCTGCAGTCTTTCTGATGTTAAATTGCAAGTTATTGCGTCTACACCACAAATTAGAGCTAGTCCACCTCCTGCATATGGACTCATCTCCATCCCAAATAAATCCAATGACTGTATTGTCATCAGCAAATTTTAAGAACTTGATAAGAATCTGAGGAAGTGTAGTTGTTCATGTATATAAGAGTAGTTCAGTTTAAAAAAAAAAAATGTTTGCTGATAATTTACACACCCCCATGTCATCCAAGATATCCATGTCATTCTTGCTTCAGTCGAAAAGAAATTAAGGTTTTTGATGAAAACATTCCAGGATCTGTCTCCATATACGGTTCAAGGTCCAAAAGACAGTTTCAGTGCAAACTGTCCAAAGGGCTTTAAATGATTCCAGACGATGAATAAGGGTCTTATCAACCGAAACTATCGAAAAATTATGTGACTCTCCCGTCCGAACTCATTCATCAAAATGAACAAATCTCTTTTCCGAGTCATTTGGTTCATTCAACGAACAAAATTATTGACTCAGAAAAAGATTTGTTCATTTTGATGAACGAGTTCGAACAGGAGAGTCATAAACGCACATCACAGAACAGAGCAAGGCAACCATTTGAGCTTATAAAACTTAAACTTTGTTTTTTTTTTTTTTTTTTTTTTTAAATGAGCAAT